ATGTATTATTGTCAGTAAAAAACATAAAGGGGAAAAAAACCCCACACAATCACCATCATAAGAAGATTCAGAGAAGGACAGAGGGAGGCGGAGGAGAGAACAAGAGCAGCCCCTGTGGCAAAATGGTTAAGAGAAGAAGAATAAAATCCAGTAAAAAAAAATCAAGCAGTCAAGTAGTTAATTGACTTTGCTTTAATCAGCCCAATGAATATTCATTAGTGTGCTGGTCCTAATCATGGGGGCCATGTTGTCCGCATTTAGTAAGCGCACGCTCAGCATCATGCATGCCTCAACAGCTTCCCTTCCTGTCTGCACTGACATTAAATTTAGAGGCTTTACGCCTTCACTAGCTTGCAGTTAGCACTGATTGGCCCAGCTGCTCTACTTGAAAATGCCATAGCAACCCCTGGCTGGTTGCCTAGCAACATTTTTTTTCCCGCAAAGGCCGAGCCAGTAATCCATAGGCTTAGTGTAGATAAAATGCTGTGTGTGTGTGTGTGTGTGCATGCGTGTGTGTGTTAGTATAGATATATATGTCTGAGAGGGAGATTGAATGGGAGGAAAGCACTCCTGTCTTCTCCTGTGTAACTCTGGCTACGGCGGCGAGTGCCTGATCGTCTTCCAGTAGAATCAGGTGTTTACGTTGTTGTTGTTTTTTTTAACTTTTTCAAAGAGGTGTAAAACTACACCAGTTCTCTAGCTATGTGGCTCCTTTCCAGAACCTCATCCAATAGGGAGAAGAATGTACTTCCATCTGCATAATCCCCAATGGGGATCTACTGCTTTAAGAAATACAGGGCCTGATTTGGAGGAGGAACTTAATTCCTATCTGCATAAAGGAGGAGGTTCTGGCAATGAGCTACATGACAAATCAATGGAGTTACACAGATGTGAAACTGGAGTAACGCAGTGGCGAGTCAGGCCTCTAGACCTCAGAGTCGTTGCTGCTTTTCCCTGCTTGCAAATAGGGTGCGAGTCCGAAGAGAGATGGGCTCAACTAGCAAAACTCTGACCCTGTCCAGATTTCGAACACTGAAAAGGCAGCGAAGAGGGCGTCCCGAACCAGGGTTTTGGTTCAGTCCATTATAGAGATAAGGGCTATTTGTAAGACTCAGACCCAGATCGCAGTTCTGATTTAAAACACCCTCTCATGGTCCAGGGATGGTAGGATCTAGAGTTGTGGTTCAGGCCTAGTTCTATTTTCTAATTCTCACTTGAAGCCTCACCCAGACATTTAGGGCTGCAGGAGCCCTTAACTGGTTATGATGACTTTCAAAGTCTTTTAAGTAACCTTAAACCCTTTTACAAATGAAGGGCCTCACCCTGTGTAGTGCTGACTTCAATGGGAGCTGGGGGCTGCAGAAAGAAACACACACAAAATAGTCCAGTCCCTTCGGACTGAAGGGTGTGTGATGCACATTGTGAGGCACTGACATAGCATGATGATGGGAGCTGTATAAGAACCCAAATAGAGTCTTTCAGAGGATCAAGCAGTAGGTGCTTTCAAAAAGCATTACTCTTTTTTTTTAGTGTTTTCCCCCTTTCTTATGGGCCTTTCTTGGTTACAAGTCCAAGATTAGTTCAGAAGCTTAGAGAGGAACTGGGCTCGATCACTGCCTCTGCTTATTAAGAGTATTTAAATAATTCTATTATTATCATGAATGATAAAAGTGGCTTTCCCAGCTCAGGGTGTATGCACGTGATTTAATTAAAGCAAATAGACAAAATCTACCTGCGTTCAAAGGAGAAAGAGAAAGGCGCTAATGCCTCCCACCCCAGACGGACAAACACCCTCTGTTCCACCCACCATGTTACCACACGGGGAAATGTGAGAGAAGAGAGGAGTCCGTCTCTATGCTCTGAAGGTCAAGACTGTCAGAGCAGGTGCAAGAATGAATTCCAGATGCTTTCTGGGAGAATGCCCTGCCACTAATGTTTACATCTAGAGATGTTTGGCTCAAATGCTTCAATTGACTTCAAGAACCATGGCAGAGCCAGCTTTCTGACATCCAGGTCCCAACATATGGAATTGCACTTGGAAAAAAATTGCAAGCCAATACAGATTATGGAGCACTAGTGAAATAACACTAAGTACTTAGGCAGCCACATCATGCATTGGCTAATGGTCCAGAGGGTAATTCTGTCCAGAACAAATGGAAGAACAACAATCCAACCTGGGGGGTGAGAAATTGTTCTTGCCCATCTGGATCATCATCATGCCAGGATCAGGTTAATCAGCCTCAAAATCTGTATCCGATGGAACTACTGTGGTTTGAATATTTGAGGGTGAAAGGGAGAATTTCCCTCCACTCCCAACACCCACCATCACCAATGTCAAAAATGCAGAATGAAGGCCTGCTCCTCTGTGCCCAGAGCTCCCATATGGCTCATGCAATCCATACTACATCCTGACTCTAGGTAGTAGTGGGGAGCCTTTATTTATTTATTTATTTATTTAAACAAACTTAACAATCATTGTGGTTGTAAAGAGAAATAAATGAGGAACGATCGGTTGTGGGACACATGCATTAGGAGAGTCCAATTTTTATCTAATTTATTGGAGAATATTTTATCCCTGTGAAAATAGTCCTGTAATGCTACCAAGATCAATTTGAGCCATAGGGACTCGTAGGATGAGGGCAGGGCAGACACATCTATAGCTGAATGCCAATTTAAAACTTTGGCTTCAAATCCTGAATCATGAGCATGGTTTATAATTTATCATGGGTCAAGCGAAGTACATACAAAGGTATATGTCTGCCTCTGTATCAAAATAACGTGCCATGTTCTCCAACCAAAAGGCTTGACCTTAGGAGGTACTGGGCCTCTCCTGAGTTAATGGTTGCTCATCCCTCCCTTCATTATAGCACGGTCTGAAGGCACTTGGTACTGCACAATAGGACCCTGGTGGTTTTAGTCAGGCAAAGCTCTCAGTAAAATTAATGGGCATTTTGCCTGTGTAAGGCTACCAGGGTCAGACCAAGATACTGTTTCCAAGCTGCTGTGTCCTCATCAGCAAGTTTGTGAAAGAAATTCCTGGGTGATGCCAATGGGGAGGGTCGGGGGGCAAGAGTCTCTGGAAGGTTTTGTCCTTAGTGTGAAAGATCCGATGGCCTTAGGTCAAACTGGTCAAGTTCCCAGCCAGCCTCTGTGGGATATGAAAGAACCATTAAAGAGGCTCTCTCCCTAAAGTGGCCTGTGATTGGTTGCTATGGATAAGGAGACTTTTCCAAGAAAATTTCAAATGAAAAATGTTCATCTTGTTCAGAATATTTTTGTTAAACGAAAACCAAAAAGTGTTCTAGAATTTTTGGCGGGGAGGGGAGGGGACATTTGTTTGTTTCCCCACTTTGATTCTCTCCCTTTTCCCCGCTGCAAAAGGGAGCAGAGAGAAATCCGGAATAAAAGGGGGGGGAATCAGTTTCCATCAAAAAGTGGAAAATTTTGATCAAGATAAAAAATTGTCACAAAAAATTAATTTTGGTTTAAAAAAAACACATTATTTTGTTGCAAAAACATTTTGATGAAGATCATTCAAGCAGCTCTGCTCACCACCATTCACTTTAAAAACGGAAAAGCCTAGTGTGAATTACTTGTTCTTGTGATCATATTTGGTTGATAACATCTGTGAATAGGATCTGTCCACTTCCATCTGAGTGCACTTTGAAAACTGGAGGGGTCTGTTCAGCAGATAGGATCAATTCATTTTGTATAGAGTATGTCTTGTCAAATATCAATCCTGAGGATAATGTTACTATCCTCAGAAGTTGAGTTTCCATCGCCCTGTTGCTTATGTAGTCATTTTGTGCCAGTAACATTTTTCACCCTTTGTGCTTGTATAAATGACTACACAAGGTGCAGTGCAATGGAGGGTTGGACCTTCTGTCTTCTAAATCAGTACAGGGCCAAAAAGAGCTGGCTGAAGAATAAAAATTTTAAATGAGATTTGTGAATATGCTCACAAAGGAAACCACCAAGTTTAGTTCATGCGATCCAACTGTTCGTTCTTCAGAAGCATTGGGCCAACAGTTGAGTATTTTGTTGTAAGGATCATGAATTGTGAAAATGTCACAAATGTTATTGTGATTGGAAGTGTTATTTATTTGTTACAGGAAATTTTGTTATTGTTTCAATCAGCCAATCAGGGAGTAGAAGACATACCTTGTGATTTGGGTGATAAACCAAACAAGGCAAACTACTAACAAAAAGGCTATGTCTACACTACAGTTTATGTCAGCATAACTTACGTCGCTCAGGAGAGTGAATAAACTCCCCACCTCCACCCCCAGTGACATAAGTTACACCGATATAAGCTCTGGCAATGACAGCGCTATGTCCACAGGAGAGCTTTTCCCACCGACATAGCTCTCCTGTCTGCTTAACTACTCCAGCCCCCATGAGCGGAGGTAGCTCTCTCCCTACATTAGTGTAGCTCTGCCCTGACAGTAAATAGCAGAGTCAAAGTGAATAATTCAGAGACAACCCCTAGTCACAAAATAATTCATCAAAACTATATGGTGAAGGGTTCTGAATGAAAGATAACATTTAAAAATTCAAGATTGTCTGGCGAAAGTTTTTCTAATAAAAAATGAAGATATGCTCATCCTGAATGTTTTTCATAACAAACCAGCTCAAGTGCTAAGCAAAACAAACAGGGCCGGCTCCAGGCACCAGCGCAGGAAGCAGGTGCTTGGGGTGGCCAACGGAAAGGGGCGGCACGTCCAGGTCTTCAGTGGCAGGTCCCTCAGTCCCTCTCAGAGGGAACGACCGGCCTCCAAATTGCCGCCGAAGAATGAAGCGGCGCGGTAGAGCAGCCACCGAAATGCCACTGATCGCGGCTTTTTTTTTTCTCTCTCTCTCTCTTCGCCGCTTGGGGCGGCAAAAAAGCTGGAGCCGGCCCTGAAAACAAAACAACCAATACAAGCATTTATACAAATGAGTGGGATTTTTTTTATATTAGTGAATTTAATGTAATTTCCTATTTTGGTTTGCTCTTACAGATTTGTTGCTGGATACCAAAACTTCCGTGAAACAGTCCCTGCGGCCCATGATGGAGAGAAGGAGACAGGTAAGCTTTCGGAGAAACTTGTGTCCCTTAAACAAGCTCTAGACTTGGAATACGCCAGCACTGTATTTGCTGCTCAATGGGGTCAGCATTTGCACGAATGTGTATTTTTTCCCTCTCAAGACATAGAACTATGGAAATATTCTTCTACCCAAATACTGTTACTTAAGGTAGAGTTGCCAAGCTGAGTGCAAGTTTGGCATTCTTACTACTTTCACGCAAAGGTTGCTTAGAACCATTGTGTGGTACCATTTCATGGCTTGTTCCTCCAGTGAAGCTGAAAGTAGTGCATACAGGGAGCTGGAGGTCAAGGGGTAGATTTGGCTGGAAAGATGCATTGCAAGGTCTCCATCTGAATCTTACCTGTGTGATTGGGAGCATTCATGCCCTGAGGCAGGAAGATCTGAGGGTGCCAGGGAGTCATGGGAGGATAAGAAGGAAAAACAAAACAACTATAAATAGTTCTACACTGAAAGATGACATTTAAAAAAAGGTATTTTTGTTTTTTTTTTTAGAAATAGATGCATGAAGGCTGTTTTTCTGTTCTCCTGTCTTTTTGTCCCTGGCTGAAGTTATGAGACAAAGAGAAGGAAAATGTAGGGGAAGTCAGGAGAGAAAAATCATGCAAACACATGAAAAGGGCCAAACTGGGGAGGGGAAAAACAGATGATTTCTGAAACTACCTCTACAACCAGCTACTGAGATTCAAAACATGCCACAGGAGCAAGGTCATCAAACCCAGAAACGAGGCAGTCTTCCCTTGAAGATGCTCCAGCCACATGCTGTAGCCACATCCCCATCACCTACCAGCACCTCGGTAGTGTCATACGAACATGCAATGTACCTTCAATAAAGCAGCACCCATGTGGCTCAGCAGAAGGCTATTGTACGTTCTGACTTTTACACCAAAC